ACGAAGTCGGTGCACTTTTTGGCGATGCGGATGACCTCCCGACTGGAGGAATTCAGCAGATTGTACATATGGGAGATCGTCAGGCGGCATGGGGTGCCCATATCTATAGTATCGGATCGGGATCCTAGGTTCACCGCCAATTTTTGGGAGAGTTTCCAACGGGCTATGGGGAGTCAGTTGACGAAGAGTACAACATTTCATCCCTAAACGGACGATCAGTAAGAGAGGACCATCTAGATATTAGAGGACATGTTGTGGGCATACGTCCTAGACCTCAAGGGTAGTTGGGAAGATCACTTACCCTTAGTGGAATTCTCCTATAATAACAGTTATCAGGCGAGCATACAGATGGCACCATATGAGGCACTTTATGGGAGGCCTTGCCGTTCTCCAGTTTGTTAGACGGAGGTGGGAGAGAGACCCTCTACGGGTTCGAATTTGATTAGAGACACCTCGGAGAAGGTGGACTTGATTCGGAAGCATCTTTTTACAGCCCAGAGCAGGCAGAAGAACTATGCCGACAAACGGCGACGACCTCTGGAATTTGAGGTAGGAGATCACGTCGTCTTGAAGGTGATGCCTAAGAGGGGAGTGGTCAGGTTTGGAAAACGAGGGAAGCTGTCGTCAAGGTTTATCGAGCCCTTCGAGGTACTCGAGAGGTTGGGTACAGTGGCTTACCAGTTGACGTTACCGCTAAATCTATCGAGTGTTCATGTGGTGTTCCATATCTCTATGCTCCGGAAGTATACTCCAGATCCGACACATGTTGTGGATTTGGGTGAGATGGCTGTTGATGCAGATGTGACCTTCGAGGAAGGACCGGTGCGTATCATGGACAGCCGGGAGCAGATTTTGCGAGACAAGACCATGAGGTTAGTAAAGGTGTTATGGCAGCATCGAGGCATGGAGGAGGCGACATGGGAGCGTGAGGACACTATGAGTATCAACTATCCGTTCCTATTTGAGGATGGAGGTACAATTTTAAAATTTTATGTATAATGTCATTGTTGCATATGCATGCAGTTAAATGTGTATATGTGTGTGTGAATTTCAAGGACGAAATTCTTTTAAGGGAGGAAGAATGTAAAACTCGATAAATTTAAATTTTTTATAAAAAGGGTAAAACAGTAAATTATCACTATAGTATGGGTTGAAAACCTAAAATTTTCTACATCTCGGATGACGAAATGAACCTCATCGTTGGATTCATCTCATGAAATCTAGTTACTCTATCAAATTTCATCGAATTCTGAGATAGTCGAATGTTTTACATTTTACGAGGCGATCGAGTCTCGGGTAACCCAAAAATTAGATTTTTGATAAAATTTCAAAAGTTGAAAAATTATTTAAGGTAAGTTAAAAATAAAAATATTTTGAATTTAAAGCGGGACGAAAGTTAATCGTTTCAGGGTAAAAATGGACCTGGAAAAAAGAGGGCTTTGTGGCCAATTGTGGACCAAACATTGGGGGACTATAAAAAGGGGAAGAAAATCAGATTTTCTCCCCCACAATTGCTTAGCCGTTGCCGATAGATAAGAGAGGCAAAATAGGGAAAGAAATCCACTTCCCTCTATGATCTACGACTCCACAGGCTTGAAATCAACTCGGGCCAAGAGTAAAAGTCGACCTCCTTGTCGTGGGCTACACGACTATACCAAAAAGGAGGGTTTTCACCAAAGTTCCAAAAACAAGCTTGGGAGAAATCAAGGGTTTTGGACTTGATTGGGATTCTTGGAGGTTCCACCAAGTGGGTTACACTTCAAGAGGTAGGTTTCCTTCCTACTCGGGTTTATTTTAAAATATAGGATGTTTTGTGTAATGGGTAGGTTGATATAAATATATCATTTGCCTATGGATGTGGAGTGATGGAATTGATTGAATTGGTAAATTGGGTATGGGAAATTAACCTAATTTGAATTAAATTCCTAGCTTGGAATTGGTAAGTGGTAATTATTTGTGTAATTCCATGGAGCTTGATACTATATGGGCATGCTATGTGCTTAAATTATGCCTTGTGAACAAAGTGTGTTATTGGTATATATGAAGAAATAACATGCTTGAGAATTATTATTGGAAATGAAATGTTGGTATATGTTCATTGATATATTAACATTATGATGAAATTGGTAATGATATGCATGACATATGTATACATGTGATAAAGTTTCTCATATGACATTCATTACATGTGGGTATGACATTGAAATGGCAATGGTGCATTATATTGCATGTGCAATGAGACATCGAAATTTATGGGTGTGGCTGCATGGTTGGCATCAAACACCATGTAGGTGAATGATGGGTGGACTAGGGAAAGTTGGATTCAATATCCGGTTGAGTCGCACGGTTTCTTGAGAAAGAGTTGGGTTGGGGTTAGCAAGAAGGGTTAGACTATTCCTTGGGTGAGAGGCTGGTATTTCAGATACGCACTTCTGTTGGTATAAGAGCCCATAAAGTGTGTTGTTGTACGCAGAACCGTTGGTAGAAGTTCATGAATTCCGTGTTGGTTGGGTGACCGTTGGTGTAAGTCCATAAATACCCACCCCAAGAAAGATCTAGAGGTTTTAAGTAGTCATTGGGCGTGTAAAACCAATGGCGGGGGCGTGGAAAGCCCGATTTTGACACTCATGGCATAGTATGGGGGAAGGTAAATGGCTGGAGCTAAAAAAGCTCGGTCTTATACACATAGGCCTTGCATATGTTATGGAGCTGGGAAGGGGTGGGATAAATGGCATGAATGGGCATCATCTCAATTCATGGCATGGTATGTTAGATTCCAACCTTGACTTGCTGAAGTGTTGGTTAGAGTGATTGTTGTTGTTAAATGTTGCATGTGAACATTACATATGCACTTAGGTTGGGGTGTAGCCTCTGTAGGAAATATTTTACTAGGCATTGACTCACTCTATACGGGAAACATTTCAGGTGTGGGGTTCGTACCGGTGGAGGACTCACATTGGGGGCCTCAACGATGAAGAAAAGCCGGTTTGTGACTTTTGAAAGCAAGTTTTTGTAAAACTTTTGTAAAATTCCATTTTGAGCATGTAATTGTGTAAATGGGCTTGTAATCATATGGAATTAATTGTAATAGAACTGATATGTATCAAGTCTTATGTGAAAAAACAATACTTTACATGTTTGGCAAGTTTGTGGAAAGGTTTGGAATGAATTGGAAATGAAAAATAGGTGAAACAGAAAATTATGGGTAAAACCTTCCGGAAGGTCTAGACAAAACCTTCCGGAAGGTTTGGACAGACAAGGAAAATTGTCGAACAGTGGGTGAAACCTTCCGGAAGGTCAATTCTAACCTTCCGGAAGGTCTTCATATTCTTTGCAATATAAAAAATCCAGTGTGCAACTTCTTCCTAAAGGTTTGAACACACCTTCCGGAAGGTTGACACATCTTTCTTCAAGATAGGATTCCAGTAAGCAAAATCTTCTGGAAGGTTTATGAGGACCTACCGGAAGGTCGATGAAAAATATCTGAAGGAACTTTTCCAGTAAGTAAAACCTTCCGGAAGGTTTCCAAAAATCTGAAATTTTAAGAATACATTGCCATGCTTTTGTGCTATGTGTTCTTTGGTTCCAATGACACAAATGTACCTTAAATGAGATACATTGGGGTATATTGAACCTTAATGAGATTAAATGATTAAAGAAAACACGATCCTCTTGTGGGTTGTAATCCCGGTTGCAGAGATGTGATAAACGTGATGCTGGAATGAGCAACAATCACGGGTAATTCTGCGGGTTGATGGGTGATCAACGGCTTAATGAAGGACCCCCGAATATTGGGGCGTCACATTTTCGTTCTCTATCTAGAATGCTTCAATTTGATTCACCATTACAATTTGTCTTCTACCTATTTGCTTCTTAAAGTGGTTAAAAAAACATAGATTTTCTAGGGTTTTTTTGAATCCCATATCACTATTCTTTTCACATGGGTCTTTGATTCTTGCTATGGTCTTTCTTGCTATCATACCGATTATTTACGCCCTCCACCTTTTTATACTCAACGCTAGAATTTTCCTACCAAGGTTTGTATTGATTTTGAGGGAACTCATTCTGAACAACCTCTCCCCTTGGTTACTTAAGCAAATCAGGAAAATGAGGATCTTAACTCTATATTAGAGATCTCACACATGGGACAGTTAGGACATCTCGATTACCATGCCAAAAGGGTATGTAGTAGTATCATTGAAGAGGAACTTGACTAATATAGGTCTCGCTTTGTGATTTTTGAGCTCAATTTGCATGAGAGCGAGCTTCTTTAAATTATGATAGAGCTAGTGACTTCATTGAGGCAAGGTTTATTTCTATGAGATTGTCCTAATTTTCTAGGTTTCAATTTCCAATTTATTCCTTTATTCACAACTTCCTCTATTCTTTCCATCTTATCCCTAGCCATCTTTCCCTCAATAGTTGGAGGATCCTTATTAGATTATGGGTCTTGTGGTTTTCTACTAATGGCTCTGGGGCATTTCCAACTATGGGAGAATTGTTGCATTGTAAGGCGGGCACTAGCATAAATTATGGTTGGTATAAACTTAGAAAAATTTATACTTGCAATAAAATGGCAAGTATTATTCATACCCCTCCCAAAGAAAGGAAAGATACGTTCTTATTTAGTTTGAGCTCAGGTTGGGAATTCAATCACTCTAAACTCCTCGTAGTTCAACCTACAAGGATCCTACAATGTTGCGGAACTTCTCCATTTGGTAGGTTCCCCCCTTTGCTCATCTTTCTTTTCAATGACAATAGCATGGGTAACCTCATTTCTATTGCAGTTGAGACCATCAATATTTCTAAAGAATTTCTAGGTAGGATGGAGGTTGCCAACAAATTCAAGATTAAAGAATCTAGTCTCTTGGTTACTGATGTCAGTTTGTTTGAACACCAACTAAATCTTACTCCATTTGCGATTACCGCTTAAAGGTAAAATCCAAGCTTTGCCAACTTGTTTGCAGAGCTATGTTGATAACAGATCTCAGATCATTCCTTTATTTTTCATCTTTTCCTTCAATGGTGAATAAGAAAGCTCTGAAGGAGTTTATAGCTCGCACGGTTGCTGAAGTCATATCTACTCCCCCTCTTCCCCTTCTATAGAGTTTTGGGTTAGGTGGTTCCCCCAAGGTGAGGGTTTCAACATGTTGCTTCCAAGTCAACTGAGATGAATTCTTTAGTTGTAGAGGCCTCACCCAACACTTCTTAGGTTGCAGGTGCATTGCAAAGTCAAAATGGCATTCTT